AGTTAACTGTAGATTTCAGGTATACACTACCCAGGATACTACAGGAATGATTAGAGCATTTTTGCAAGTTAACTGTAGATTTCAGGTATACGCTACCCAGGATACTACAGCATTGATTAGAGCATTTTTACGAGTTAACTGTAGATTTCAGGTATACACTACCCAGGATACTTCAGGAATGATTAGAGCATTTTTGCAAGTTAACTGTAGATTTCAGGTATACGCTACCCAGGATACTACAGCATTGGTTAGAGCATTTTTACGAGTTAACTGTAAATTTCAGGTATACGCTACCCAGGATACTACAGGTTAATACTATGCAACGCAGATAACAAAAGCTCAGGAAACAAGGGGACCCTGCATGACTCAGCGAGGCTACTTGTCTGCGAAATTTTATTGAGAAAAGAGCTGACTCTCTCGAGTGTTGAACTGGAATAGAATAATCCTCAAATGCTACTGATATAATTATTAAGTTTTCTTACCTGTCTGGAGTCTCTTCCACTAATGTCAATGATCTGGGCGCCAAACAAACGCGCGCGGTACATATTTCCCGCCACAAATAATTAAAAGCACTTTCATGAGATGGTGATCAAAATGCAAAAGCAAAATAGGAAAGCCGGCGCCAAATTGCTAGAGGCTAGCGATCGTTTGTTGGGCGGCGTGTGATAGAGTGAAACTGATAAAATATCGAGAAATCCTGACAGAATCTTTTTGTAATACATTATCAAAAATTATGTGAAATACATCATCAGAGAGCACGTGCGAAAAAAATAATTTCCGCTCGATATTTTTTCTCGGTATTTTTCACCGACAAAAAACCGAAATATTAAAAATCACAACTTACCATCAATTGCTCGGCTAAACTAAGCTAAACTTACCGAAGTCGATCACCAAGTAAGGATTTCCTACAGAAATAATTTGCCACTCTCGTTTAGCAGTGTAGTGGTCGAACTTGACGTAGATTAAAACGGATTCTTTTTGCCGGCATCTTCCCGTTAAATTAAAGTAGATTTAACACTTGCCAGGAGTAATTAGAAATCTAGCCATTTTGCTCATAGCTTCGCAAATGCAACCAGCGTTATACAGTAAAGCGACAGAAACTTTAGCGAAATATTCACGTGCGACAGTCGCGACAACCGCAGTAAATCTAACAAATGAAACAAGATACTGAGAGAAAAAAAGGGCTTCATTGATTGTTTCCGGCAGGCGGTGACAAGTAGTTTACGAGATTAGAAGACCTCCTGGTCAGAATTTTTTTTGTAGCCTAAGCCCGTCATG